CATCTGAGCCAATAATACTGCCAACAATAGATTAGCTATCCCAGTGAGTAATTGACCAGCTGTGATAGTTCGATCCCAGAACCAGCTCCAAGTTGTCCTCATCTTGCCCCACTTCTCCTAACTTTCGGATGTGGTTGGGCTTGCAAGTGTAACTGGCAGATCTTTTCGCAGCTCAGGTTGGGTCGTTACGTACTTCAACATAAAATCAACCACCTTCGGATCTTCATAGGATGAAGGCTCACCCAGATTACTAGCTATACCAATCCTATTGGACAGCATGAGCTCCTCAAGTAGTGTCTTGAATTTAACCCACATGTTACCTTCATCCTCTGAAGATCTGGTTGATTTTATGTTGAAGTATGTAACGACCCAATTCGAGCTACGAAAAGATCTGCCTGTTCCACTTGCATGCCCAACCACACCCGAAAGTTGGGAGAAGTGGGGCAAGAGGAGGACAATCTGGAGCTAGTTCTAGGATCGAACTGTCACAACGGGTCAATTACTCACTGGATAGCTAATCTATTCCTGGCAATATTGTTGGCTCAGATGTTCTCCAGGTTATAGAGGAAGAGTATTAGCGTGTTAATCCATATCATTTCTTTCACCTTCTATTAGGCCAGACTTCTTCAGAAGTTTCTACCACAGCGGGTCAATTACTCATTAGAATAGATGATCTGTTGTTGGCTCAGATGTTCTCCAGGTTATGGAGGAAGAGTATAGGCGACACACAGCTCTCAAAAGAAGGAGAACACAGAATCTGCAACATATGACAAATTCAAAATAGACATAGCCAATTATGAAAAAATAGACTTTGATTTTGGTAACTCTCACGTCTTTTTCCTTTATGCCTTGGGGCAGGTCAGTTTATTTGGATTGGAGCTTGTCAAATTTTTATGTATGTGTATTTTAATGCGGCACGAATTTGATGGCAAGCACAATCCTTACTAGTTTTTCGCAATTGAGTATTATCATGCATGTGTGATGAACAAACTAACTTCCTTGCAAAGCAACACACCCCTAATCATGCTGCATGTGTTATTTTGTAGTTCGTCATGTTGTGAAGGATGGATTAGAAAAGCTTGTTCAAGAATCGGTTCATGGTGAATATCACAAAAATTTCATTTTCATTAACCAAATATATTTTCTTCTATCCTAATCTCATCTTGCTGCAGCTATTTCTGTTAACACTAGTGGAAGGAGGTCAAGGTGATCACCTCCAGATACGTATGTGTATTACCTAACTATGGTATAAACTACAACTCATTGTGATTTTCATGTTACTCTTATATTAGTATTTTTATAGATGTAAGTTTGAGAAATCACATATAGATGTCAATTTTGATTACATTGGGTAAAGATGATCATTTTGATGTCAATAAGATTTTATTGTTGTGGTGTATTTATATGCGACAATAAGTTAACTGAATGTGCAATTTGGAACGTAGTGAAGCAAATAACATGTTACCCGCATTGATATTAGATAATGTTAATTGACACATTCTTGGCAATTGCCACACTCATATTTCAATTTGCACAACTATAATGTTCACGCCTGATATGTGATGCCTAAAAACCAACACTTAACATGGAATTGCCCTTGCATGAAGACAAATGCCCTTGTTATTGTCTTCTCTTGCGACATGCAAGCCTTAGGTCAATATGTGTTGTATTGTTTATACGTCCCACCAAATACCCCATATACTTACGGAAAGCCCAGTAAGCGAGAAAGGTTTGAACTTTCTTTGTTGAATTAAAGGATAAATATGTATGTTTTGGTCAATTGGGTGTCTAGTAAGAGAGTAATATGTAAGGATCCAACCAAATCTACCGGTTCCACTTGCACGTCCAATCACACTTGAAAGTTGGGAGAAATGGTCCAATAGGATTGGACGTGCAAGTGGAACCGGTAGATCTGATTGGGTCATTACATATTTCAAAATAAAATCAACATCCAAATCTTCAAAGCAAGAAGGCTCACCCAACTATACCAATCCTATTGGATTCCATGAGTTCCTGAAGAGGTCTGTTGAATTGAACCCACATATTACTCTTCACCGAGGAAGAATGAGCCACAACAGCATTGAGATGATACAGTTGACTTCTTTCACTTTTTGTTATGTCAAACTGCTTCTGGAGTTTCTGTTGGTCTTCGTGTTGCTTTTTTATTGCTTCAAAAACCTCTTTTGCAATTTGAATGCTTTTCGACATTATTCTAAATTTTGTGTTGAAAATGAAATTGGGAATGGTGTAGAGGTAGAAAAGAGGTGTGCGAATTCACAATCTTTTTCAAGAATCTAGGAAGCTCTTTCTTTTAGCAGTCTGTCCATGAAATCTTCGATGTCCTTTTACTTTAAATAGTAGTTATGTTTTAATTATTATTTACTTAGGGAATAATTAGTATTCAATAGTATTTTGTGAATTGGTGTAATGTTGAAAATATGTACGTACGTGTACAATATGAGTATTAAACGTGAAAATGCTAGATTCTTTATACGAGAAATAACTCTAGAAAGTAAAATCTCAAAAGGAGACAATAGAGACTTGGATAATGCTCTAAACTAGTCTTATTGATAAACAAAACTCTGGCCAAATAATTAAAAGATCACATTATCTATGGCTAGAGTATAGCTGGCTATACTATTTATAAATAAAATAAAAACGACCAAGAAACGCACGGCTATATGCTTTTTTATATTAAAAAAAACTTCGGAGTATAGCCATCATCCTATCGTCTAGCGCCCAGCGTGTAGTTGTTGTGAAAGAAGTACGGCCACGGGGCTACACTCTGTAAATAGAATATTTCATAAGTATAGCCGAATGGTCATACTATTTAAAAAAAATAAAAACAACCCCATAAAAGCCTCCGGGCAATACTCTTTTTTATTTGTATTTTTAAAAATAAAAAAAAGCGCACACACACTCCAGAGTATAGCTGTGCTGTTTAGGGAAAAAAAAAAGGGAGTTTCACTAAAACACCCAAAATGGATGTTGAAATTATAAAAAAACCCAACACCCAAAACACTTTATAAACACACCCAAAACCCATCATTACACACACTCAAAACCCATTTATAAACACACCCAAAAAGTTCACTTTGGGGTTGATTTTGGGTGTGTTTCTATGTTTAAATAGTGCTTGGGTTTTTTTATAAATACATGTCTAGGATTGGGTTTATTTATAAATTTGTAAAAAAA